TATGTTCCCTTGATTTATTTTCACCCTGCACAAAAAATCTCCAATACATCATTTTGTACATAAAGCTGGCTATTACAAGAGATGAGATGATGAAGAATAATTACTAACAGAAGTGAGCTGCTTAACAATCATTAAAGCAGCTCAATGAAAAATGGTTATTAATCTTCCCTTGAGAAAAGTGAATTATATTTAAAGTCCACTTTTTCCCCCCTTTCAGTTTTACTCCTTTCCATTTCTTTCTGTATTCCCTCTCAGCACCAAAGTTGATACTTGAAGATTTGTCCAGTGGTGTTGCTTCAGGCTTTAGCTGTCAAGCAAGTTTAAGGGATTATGTGTCAATGACAGGAGCAATACTGTTTCCAAAGGTCTGAAATCAGAGCAGCTGTCCTGTACCAGGGAGTGCAGTGTGCTCCTGCGTGCAGACTGCAAGACCTAACACACCTGCACACTAAGAAAGGGGTAGCTCTAAGTCCTTGGGCTGCTCTAATGATATCAAATAGACCATTTACTACTGACTGAACATTCTGTGATTGTTTTTGATGAATAATTACTACTAGAACAAGCCAGGGTCTTTCATGGAAATGAGTTTCCTGCCTGTCATGTAAATAGACAAAGCCATAGCATAACTTACTCAACCCCTAACATAAACTAGACTTACTGTTAATGTTGAAACAAATATTTTTATTCACTTCTGTGCAAGTAAATCATATGGATTAGTCAAAGGCTGTGTTAAAAAGTAAGAGGCTTAACATGCTTTTCAGCATAATTTTTTTTCTTGCTTTCAACTGTAATTTACCCTAAACACAAACAAATGATCTTTAACTTTTTTAAGAACTATTCCCACGATTTTGGACCATTGCAAAATATTAGTTCATTAAGAAAGAATTTAATTGTTATACCTCAACAGCTGAAATTTTTTTAGAACTAAAAAAAAACCTCAAACTTTGTACTTTTCAATCTCACTGTCTTACAGATTTGCAAAGCGCTTGAATCTTTGCAGGTAATATTTAATTCTAGAAAGTAAATTTATATGGACATGTGAAAGTGGAATTTAAGGTAATAATTTTAAAATTTGGTTTCTTTTAAATCACTCATCTTGTTTAAGATATACGCTATTATTAGAATCAAAGAAAACGACATATCGAAGTAACATGAGGAAAAAATCCTATTATCCTGGTAGTCCTAAAGAAAATAAAAAAAATTGTCCTTTTCTGAAAATAATATTGCGCTAGATTTTGAAAGCTTCCAGGATGTTAAGTATTGTAAAGCAATAGAGACTTTCCTAATAATGTCTACTATACAATATTTGAATTAAGACTTTGACAGAATTTATAAATGGATATGTCACACGAATCTGTGCATCTGCGATCCTAACCATAGCTAATGCATTTGCCTATCTACACAGTATTGTGGGAATATTGTAGACAGGAAATTGGAGTATTATAATTTCTGCTAAAAGTGGCTTGGGAATATTTTTTAAGGGACATTATGAAGAAGTACATCTAAAAAGACATCTGTTATAGCATCCCACAAGGTCTATGAATCTGTACCGTAGTAAACTGTATCAAGTTATCTCCTCTACATAGACAATCAGTACACCTGAGAGCCAGCCTTTCCTGACAGGGCCATTTCATCTGATAGAGTATCAAATGGCTTGTTGATTATTCTGACTTCAAAGGCCAACGGTGCTGATATCTTCAAGGTGGTCTGTAATGCCTGAGTGATGAGGCCACCTGTCAATGTGACTGCAAAATTAAAGAGAATCTGTTGGGAAATGGAGGGTAAACTTCCTCTCCCTCAGATTAACCTGATTAGCCTTGAACAATTTAACTTGTACAAATCAGTTTTGTAGCTATGGGAAAATTATTTATCAATGGCTACCTTTTTCTTGGGATGGGGGGTGGGGTGAACCATTTATAGTGAGTAGGTCTGTAAAATGTGCTCACCTACTTCAGAACCAGTTTTCTATTTGCCGAGTTACAAAATAAAGAGAAGACCTCTTCATTTCTATCAATATTTGAAATGGTGAATTTGTTTAGGATGGTAAAAATAACTATTCCTCTTTGCTAATTTTAACGAAAATGCTCTGTTGAGGGTAGCAGAATGTCAAGAACTAGGGAAAACAAAGGTGTCATTTATGGAATAATAGTCTCTTAGCCAACAACAATATATTTTAATCTTTATGATAGGAAAAGGAATAACGTTTTGCATTCAAGGAGGAAGATAAAAGGAGAGATAGGCTAGTCTTCTCTCTTCTCATTAAAGTAGGGAAGAAGAAGCTGTTAAAAACCTCTAAAGCATCTATGAAAGTGGGTATTATGAGTTACAATATAGGGCATGTTTCTGAGGTTTTTTTGCCTGCCATTACAAGCAAAGCAGAAGGCTGCAGGAGGAATCCCAGTGTTAGTGTATTGATATAACTTGCTGATGTTTAGGGTGTCCTATAGCCTGCTCACTGCCATTCTTCTCCCAAGAAGTCAGTGGCCATCCCTATCACAATCAGGAGTGAACCCATTCCATGGCTGAAATGTAGACATGTCCATCGCCTGAGAGATACCTCTCCAGGCACTTGTTTGGAGTGTCAGGTCACTCATTGAGGCTGCCTAAATATTGTTTTAATGACAGTCGTGCTAGAAAGGGGGACTATCATTTTAGGCCTTCAGGTGTTCCCTCTTCAGTCTACCATTTCAGGAAGTTTAGACAGATCTGCTGTTAAGTGTTAATAACCATGATCACAGAAAGAGTGTGCAGCCACTCAGGGCAATCTTTGCCCATGTAAATATTTAGCTCCCTACGTAGGACCTGATTTTTTGTTATATGGTATGATTGTCTAGAGCAGCAGCCCAGCCCAGCCCTGCCCTATCTATTCATCTCACACTGGAGACATACAGTGTATACCCAAGGATGTGGTGGGAGTGAGGGGGTCTCACCATCAAGTGCTCTCAGTTCTGCACTGGCAGTCAGTAGAATGTCTCATTTTCTGCTGCTGTGCAGATCAAGTGTATCCTGGCAGTTGTCTGTCACTGACCTTTCAAGCCAAAGTCCTTCCTTAAGATGACACCGTCCTCTGGATTTCAATGAGCCAGGAGGCTCATTGGATTTCAATGTGGATTTCAATGAGCCAAGAGGCTCATTATGTGGATGTAGATTTCAATGTGCATTTCAATGAGCCATGAGGCTCCTTCCAGCCAGTATTGGGTTTGCATGGGAAGGTTTTGGTAGTGGAGGGAAATACAGGTGTGGCTGCAGACTGCCATAGACTTCTTCTGTGTCTGATGAAGCCAATGCCAGCCAGCTCCAAGACGAGAGCTGTTGCTGGTCGAAACCAAGCCTGTCAGCAATGGTGGCAGTGCCTCTGGGATAACAGATTTAAGAAGGAGGAAAAGTTGCTGTGCAACAGAAACTACAGTTGGAGGGAGGAGTGAAAAATATGTGAGAGAAATAGCTCTGCAGAAAACAAAGTGAAAGAAGGAGTAGGAGGAGGTGCTCCAGACAGCAGAGGAGATACTCCCCTGCAGTCATCATGAAGACTATGGTGAGGCAGCTGTCCCCCTGCAGCCCACAGAGGTCCATGGTGGAGCAGATATCCATCTCCAGCTTGTGAAGGACCCCACTGCAGAGCAGGTGATGCCTGAAGGAGGCTATGACTTATCAGGCCTTCCTCCTCTATCTGCATATGATATTTGCAGGAATTTAATTATCAAAAGAATACTGTTCATTTTCCAGGCTTGGCTGAAATCAGGCAGCTGTTGCAGAAGCTACTCTGCAAAGGGGAAAGACAGAAATATAGATCTAAATATGCATTCACACAGAGACACTGTGATTGCATAAGACTGAATCCAATGGGAAAGGAGCCTAAAATGATTCAAGATTTTTCTTTTACAGCACTAAAAAACAAATCCAGAGAAGGAAGGATTGAAACAAACCTAGCAATAATTTGACATAGCTGCTGACATAGAAAGTCATAGAAGCAAAAAGAAGAGACATGTTCTTTTTTGACTTTTGCCATTCACTTTCTTGTGAACAGGGCACCAGTGCCCATAGTAGTTGGCACATGCTAATAACTGTCTTGTTATTACAGCCTAAACACTGTGCCCTCCTCACCTTGAAAACTAAACCCCTCCTCGCAGAAGTTCTGCTACTTTCTGTCTTAGCCACAAAACAGTGAGAGAATTGATGTCATTTGGTCACACGTGGATGGTGTGTTGCTGTTTGTGGTCCTTCTGCAAAGTTCATGAATTTGTTAAATTAATTTTCCCTCTGTAAATGGAACTGTAAAAAAGGTTGTCACAATGTGGCACCTAGCAGCCAAAACAAGAGTAAGTCCTCCAGCTGTCATCTGTAAGAGTCAGAGCTTCTACTGCTCTGGCACACAAAATAGGCACGTGCAAGGCCGTAACTGCAAAAGTGTGCAGACAATAAGTTGTGGGATACTGATAATTCAGTAATGGCATCAAGACAGCTGATTTTTTATTTCCAGCAGTGGGCAGAGAAATGCATAGGGTTTCTGCTTAACATTGTATAGCATAATTCCCAGAGGAGGTGACCTTCCCGTATGAATTAAAGCTACTGGAAATAACTTCCTACAGACAATCTCAAACCACATGCAGCTCGTCCGAGGCACTTTGTGTATTTGTGTATTATATATTGAACATACCTAATATAAGTTTAGGTTTTGATTTGCACTTCTGGTATGGAAAATCAATTTATTTTGTCTTTTTTCATTAGTCTTGGGAAATTATTTTCATTATTGAACTTTTTCCTTTCAGAAAGCTATCAGGAAAACGTAAAGGGCTTACAGATAGCATTTTGATTCCTCCTGCATAGTGTCACTCTTTTTTCAGCAAGGGTTGCAAGCTTTTGCTGTCTAAATAGCATCTAGACTAACTAAATAAAAGTAAAAATTAGTTTTAATCTGTGTTGAATAACCCATAGCATGAAAGCATGCATTTCTTAGGTCATGAGAAAGTTAATCGCTATTATGTGAATGTTGGCCTTACTTCCTGAAGCTCTGTTGTCTTCCAAAATGTCATCTCATGCTCAAAACTGCCTTTAAATGTCACTTTTCCTGTAAGGAGAAAAAAAGACTGTCTTTTCCTGTTCTTTCTGGTTTTGTCCTTGTGGCTCAAGAAACATTTTTCACATATGTCTATTTTTCTTTCTGATTTTACTAAGAAACTTTTAAAAATAACATTCTAAAATAGGGAATTGATTTTGTTATTTGCATAAATAACATATTAAGCTCACTATTCTTTATCTGTTCCCCTTTAATTATTTTTCATTCTTTACATTTTGGAAAAACTACATTGCTTTCAAGCTATTGTTATTTTTAATTCTGATGTCCTACTTCCTTTTACTTTCCAAACAAAATAGTCGTAGCATATTTAATCTTTCTGCATATTGAGGTCTCTCCAGTTCCCATGACTTTAATTATTTTTGTTACTTTTTCCTTGGATATAATCTGCATATTAGGCTTAAACTCTAAAAAATCAGTCATTGCCTCACTAACCTCTGCTCAGTTTCCAGTCCTTCTGCAGATGCTTTCTCACACTTCATTAGGCCAAATCTGGATCCAAAAACTTCAGAGAAAGATTCTCCAAGCAGAGCTTCTCTTCTTATCATATTAACCTTTTTTCATGCAGCCGAGCAACATACTCCATCCTCATGTACCTACTTTTCCAATCCACTCAGTTCTCTTCTTTATCTCTGCATTCCACTCTTTACTCAGCAATGTACAGGCAGTGCTATTTTTAGCTCATGAATACATCATTTAACATTTGCTCACATTGAAACTCATCGACTATTTCTTCAACCATTCCCTTAATGTGTTTAAATATCACAGATAAAATCTATACCACTTAAAGTATTAATGTTACTTAAGATTTTGCTTTCATCAGCAAAGTTTGTCAGTGTGTAGAAAGACCATTAGGATCAGCTGCTAACACCTCTTCCCTGACTTAATTATGAAGTAATAGGCTCAGAAATATATTGACTAATAGTTAAAAAGAGATATCTGATGTAAATTAAAGAATAATTAGTTCTATCAAGAAAAAGAAATGCATCTGAAATTTATTATAGCCACAGAGACAAGATTAACATACTTCCAATTCTATCTAGCTTTAGAATTACATCCCACAAAGTTTCCCAAAAGGTTAGTGACATACCATCAGAAGTAAATCTGGTCTGTTGGTTGACCAAGGGGATTAAAGTTGTATCCAGCTGTACATAAATTGGGAGGCTCAGGAAGTGGCAAATTTCAGGTAAAGGATGGGGGGTGGGGGGTGTACAAAGAGAAATATCTACATGTACACAAAGTAATGTCTTTTTTTTCCATCCTAGAACTCTCTCTTTACACATTGCTGATTGAGGAGACTCTTTGATTTGTTTGGTGTAAAGCAGTTTCTTGCAGAGAGTACACACAAATACAGCTCTCTCATGACAGCATTACATATGTACATCTTTCTTTCCATCCCTTATAAGTAGATGCAGAATGTCACGAAGGAGGTGCAATGTTTAATGCTTCATGCTTGCTCCAGGACACTTGCTCCCAAATGTGTTCTAGCTCTTTGAGTCAGGTGCTTGATTTTCAGAGGAGACACAGGTGTCTGTGGACAGGAATGAAGATTATCATCCTTCTGAGCAGGAAATAAATTTAAGAAAACATTCAGGAGGATTTTAAATCTCACCGTCTTCCAAAATAATGTGCCTTCTACTTGGGATCCTAGTACAATATCTTTTCCAATGGTGAGACCTCACTTATTTTTGTAGTCAGACTGAGAAATATAATAGTTATCTTGAAAAAGGAGCTGATGAAAAAAAAATGGATATACACAACTCATAATTAATATTCTAGTTACCGAAGCCATCATACAAGGTGTGAGTGGTCCAGATGTTCAGATTCACCCTCTTTGGCTGTCTCTCACTGAATGTCTCCCTGAAGTGTTCCCTGAACCCAGAGGCTATTTTGGGCCTCACTTCTCCTATTTCATGTGTCCACTGCATAGGAAATACTTTCAGATGATGCCAAAACAAACTCCTAAGACAGAGTGCATATTCAGCTAAAAGGAGTGGAAATCATCTCAATACCAGAACTTTTGTAAAGAGATTTAACATAAAATGCAGAAATAATCCCCAAATAGTTGCAAGAGAAGGTGGACCTAGAACCAGGGCTTCTCTGCTACACACACTCTGAATGACCTAGCCACTAATCTGTGAGATCATAGAGATCTCTTTGCCTCTAAGATGACAGGTATCTTTGCCTCTTACATTTTAATGGCAAAGAGGAACAGCGTTTATACCAGATTTCCTACAACACAGGCAGTGACCTCACATCTTGGGCTTCTTCTGTGGAAGTTTTAATTCTTCCATCATTGAAGATTATAGAATTTGGATGACTACCCTGGTCCCTAGGTATTTAAGAAGAAAAAGAAGTCAGTAATTGTTACAATACTCTATGCAAACTTTCATTCTTTAAATGTGCTTAGAAAATTTTTACCGACTTGACATATTGAAAGGAGTCAGGCAGAAAAGCTCCTTGTTTTTAAATGTCTACTGAGTGTCATAAGTAATTACAGTGGCGATACCTGAGGATGTTATGAGCATCGGAGTGAGAATATGGAGAACCTGAAGTGCGTGCAGAGCAGTAGGGTCAATACTGAGAGGCCATTTCAAGAATAGAGTTTTGAACATGTGATTTTGAGCAACATGTGACTACATGTTGCTCAGTTCCTTCTTTAGGTACCTACATGCTTTTTTGAATCAGCCTTTAGTAAAACAAAACTGGTTGTGACTTAAATATGTCTGGGTTTTGTATCTGAAAAAAAAGTTTTCCTTTGTCAATTGCTGTGAAATTATTTGCCACATAATCCTTCACCAATAGTTCAAGGTAGAGTGAAACAGTCTTTTATTCCCTAAGACCCTTGCAATTTCTAATGGAGTCACTTTTTTCCCTCACCCTTCCATCCAGATTTATCTTCACAATAATTTAAAATATCACCCAATGTACTCTTTTTGCATTAATAAATAAAAATCTATTTTTGAAAAGTAAAATTACCAAACTTTCCCATGCAGCTCCCACAGAATTGGATTCAGTGCTGACTACTGCAAATTGATTAGTAGATTCTTAATGGTTATTAAGTGATGAACAAAGCACATATTGATTTAAATAGCAGCTTGAATTTTGAAGGCTGCATGCATGAAAACAAATACAGTATGCCATGATGCAGAAATGCAGGACAATTAATAGTGTGACCTAAGAGAGCAAAATCTACCTTGAAATAGCCAAACATATAAGTGCTACTAAATCAATGCCTTTATTTTCTTGCCTTTGTCTTTCCAATGTTTAGTTTCACAGTAAATGAAAGGGGCTATTTGAAGTGAGGGAGTGGAGAAGACAGGTCTGTGACCTCTAGATAGACCGTGGAGATCAAAGGCAGTCTCCATATGTGTTAGATATTATCTTTGTGAGGCAAGTGGGCATGATGTTTTGTGATGCAGCAGTGTGGAAACACACAAATAATCTGGTTAGTGACCGCTGAGACAAGAATGATTGACATTGTGTTGAAGAAGCAGTAGTAATACCATGAAAAAGAGATTTAGTTTTAGTTTACAGAAGGGTCCTTCAGAGCTTTGTATGCTCAAATACTGGTTTAATAGAAAATTTCTAAGCTTACATAAATACTGTAGCTTGTATGTAAGAAAGAATAGATTGTCACAACTAACAACATTTGAAAGTCAATGTCCACTATAAATCTGTTATTTTAAGGTATCTATGAAACTACAGTTTCAATACATATATCTTTCTGTCAGTTCATTTTTTACCTTTTAAATACATGCATGATTTAGAGTGTATCTACATGAGTGTGGTTTACTTGTTGCATTACAAAATGAACATTTTTAATAGAAAATTACAGAAACACTGGGAAAAATGTGATTTTGTGGTCAGAACAGTGGATCGATACAGCAAAGCCCCTGCTCCATTGCTGTCAGCACAGAAGAACATTTAGGAGGCACATAGAGATGTCAATATAGTAAGGGTGTTACCTGTGTAAGGCTCTAGCTCAATCCAGTGACCAACACTTTTAACCTGTTGACTTTTCCTCTCTGTGTAAGGATACATAGTAGTATTATTCCCTCAGAAAGACCGTGAAAATTCTTTTGTGTAATCTTCCAAGTCTGGACTGAAAGGAGTGAAGTAAAAGTGAAAAGGATTACTGCTCAGGATATTCTAGTAGACTAAAAGCATCGACAATTGTCCAGGAAGCCATGCTGCAAAAGAAAACCTCTTTGTTTTTGTTCTGATTGCCAAGTATTTTGAGGGGAGAATGTTGTCAAATAGCTGAATATCATCAAAATCAGCTTAAGAAGCCTTAATGCCTCTCTGTCTGCACGATGTCAGTCACCAGTCTGCACTTTTGAAGTTCCCCAGTTCAAGAGGAAACATAACCAAAGGTGAATATGGTTACAGCCCCAAAGTTGCACTTGACCTTTAAATAACTCGTTCACTTTTCCCCACTCTCCTTTCTGATTTATCATATACTTTGCAAAGCTGGAAAATGCATTGCACCTTTTTTCTTTTTATATGCTTTTTGTTGGTGCTATTTTTAGCTTGCATTTTTATCTTCATGTAATTTTTCTTTAAAATACATATTTTTAACCGAGAACACTAGACATATTTATTTGATTGTCTAGTTTATTATATTTTTGGATATACTCAGGCTGCCCAAGCACCTGCAAATTCCTTTATTGTAATCACAGAGAATTCTGAAGTCTCTTTTACAAATGTATAACGGTAGCTGGAAAGTGCATTTCTTTTTAGTAATACAGAAAATGAACATCAGGGTCCTCTTAATAATTTACAGTGAGATGGAAAATACAGAACACTGAAACCATGACTTATGTGGAATGCAACGTACATTCTTAAGCAAATCCAAATATAATAATGTTCATAATCTTTTTACACTAAGAAAAGTCCAGGAAAATTTTGTTGCTTTTGTTGACCTGAGTTTTAAGAGGCTTCTGCATTCCTATCTTGCAGTGTTCAGCCAAGAGTTATGAGTAGGACATGCCTGTAGAATATGCTTGGCTATACATCAACTCTGCTTTCTGTACCTCTTATACACTGGCCGAGGTCAGGACCATTTACAAGCAAAAATCACATGCCTAAGCCACAGAGAGGATGTGTGTTTCCTCCTTAAAGATGATGTGGATGGAAAATAATGGAGTGAACCACACAGAAACTGAGCCTGGAGTCAGTCGCTTGCAAAAGAGCAGTAGCATTTTAAGAGGTTACTGCCTCTTGTCAGTTTATTAGAATCCTTCACCTGAAATGAATTGCATGTCCCTGTGACAGCTCTTCATCTATGTCAGCACAGAGTCAAAAAGATTAGATTAATTCATTGCAGAGAGAGACTTTAGCTGACTGATGTTATTTGCACTGAAACAGAGTCGGGCTGTATTTTGTCTTTGCCAGAAGAGTGTTAATTAACATGCAAAGGATGCAAAAATGACGTACCTTTAAGCACTGAAATTTTGCCTCCCACAGTCTTGGTTTCATGAGAGGAGACAGTGGCTATTTTGAGAAATGACAGGGCTTTAATTATTCCTTGAAGGACCAGCAATATTCCCTGA